GAGTCCAGTGGTGACATTTATTTTTACTTTCAAAGCGATTCAACATCTATATACATGATTTTTATAACATCGACTGTTTCGATGCTGTAATGAAAAAGTATGAAGTTTCTAAAAACCTACTATAGGAATTTCGGATCGCTTTGAAACTATAAACAAATGTCACTACTGGACTCAGCGTGACCGATTACTCCTTTCCAGATATTTTTGAGTGATCAAAAGTCAACTGTGCAAAAAAAAAACCGGACTTTCTGAAAAACTTTCATATTTCTTGAATGGAGCATACTAGGAATGTGAACCTTGTGTGTATAGAAAGAGTAAAATTTTTTGTGGAGCATGGTGGTATTACAAAACAAGATGTTGTGGGAAAATTTCTTTGACGTTTTGTCCTTAAAACTTGTATTGAGACATTCATCTGATTGGTCAATTTTTTGGGACAATGAGAATTGAGATCTCCGGATGATCCTATCTGATGAATGGTAAAAACCATAGATCTCTGTCTTGTTCCTATTGAAATTCGTGGCTGATTGCAGTTCTTTGGACACCAACTTCCTTGGAACAAAACAGTGTTTCATGTTTGAAAATTTAAAATCATTGTTACCATTGACTTTTAAATAAATTACGTCTGAAAATTTGCTCTATGGTCATTAATATAGTTCGTTGTCATTTCTTCTTAGTCCTTCGATGACAATTGATAATTATCTATGAAACGCTTTATATAGGTTTTTCTTACTTGACAAGTGAAATTTTTTTAATAAGGCCAAAAATATAACTTGACAATATTATTTATTGACGTTATTCATATGAAAAAAAAAGCCAGTCTATTTCAATGAACTGAAGCAGAGATATTTGAGTTTTTTTTATCATAGTGCTATTTATAGTACATTGTGTACATAATTGATATTTTATTTTATAGAAATTAAGAAGAAAAATTAGTAATGATCCAAGTAAATTTCAAACATTATATTCGATTGTTAATGATGAAATCATTGCTAAAACAACAAAAGAAAAAAATTCAGCTACTGATGCACTGCTTTGGCTTAAAAGGTATAATTAGTTAAATAAACTATTGACAGAATGCAATGAAATTTCAAGAATATCTCTGAATAAAATCAAAGATTAATCAGTTAAAGACAGAATTATTCTGGAAAATAATTATATTTATAGATGAACTAATAAAAAACTAAGACTTATATTTAATTGAGCAATAAAATAATTTAAATGAGCAATAATGAAATTTAGCAATAATTATATAGAATGAATAATAATTATACTGAATGAGCAATCATTTATTTAAATTAAAGGTAGATTTTATATAAAAAGGGCTTTATAGTGCAACTTGCTTATATATCTTTTTTTCCTTTCTTCTCTTCTACGATGTCGTATAGATGACAAGTACGACACACATATGTTGAAGTTGACTTTAAAAGTTATATCAATCATGATTACTCGATCCGAAGCCGTAGTCAAAATTCATCAAATACAAGACAAAAGTTTCGAATTTAGTCAAAATGTACATTTTTGTAGTCTTTTTTTGTTGTCCAATTCGAATTAAAACTGGCATGAAGGACCACTAGGAGTTCAGTAATTCTCAATATTGGATATATTCTAACACGAATTTTCAGCCATTTTCCAAAACCTTTGTTTTGTATTTGATGAATTTCGACTGCAGGTTCGGATAGAGCAGTCATGGTTGATATAAACAATTCGCAGAAACTACATATTTAATAAGGAAAAAAAAAGGTATTTGTAAAAGACACGATCATCCCCAAATCGGAAGATGATACTATGAGTATATAGAGCTCAGCAAGCTGATTCTACGAACACCCAAAGTGGTTTTTAAGACACGCCGTTTTTTTTCCAACCTACGATCTTCCATCGCTTTTGGCAGTGAGTAGACCTAGTTGAGTTAGGTGCATGCCCTCGATTGAGCAGCTTCGATCGTCATTTATTACGTGGAGTAACTAATATACGAAATTCAATTATAAAGGCTTAAATTTGAAAAAGTATGCCCTTGCTACTGTTCTTAGACAAGCATATAAAAGTTTAATATTTTGGGTACGTACCGAACTCGGCTAGACCTACTCACTGTCAGAAGATATCGATGATCGTAGGTGTGGAAAAAAAAAACAGTGTGCATTGGAAATCACTTTGGGTGTTCGTAGAATCAGCTCGCCGAGCTCTATCTACTCATGATATCATCTCCCGATTTGGGAGTGATTGCGTCTTTTACAAATATCTAGAAAAAAATTTTCATATTTCACATCTTCTTTCAGAAATTTGTGCATTCCTACCTTAGAAAAGAATGACCAAATTGCACATAAATCATAGTGGTTTGTTGACTAGGGATGGACGATTTCGAATCTGATTTAGCCTATCCTTATTCTCGATCTAATGAATGACACATAAAATATTTGATAGAATCTTCCATTTTGTGATATTCTAGAAGTCTTCATTTTCTTGGATGTTTTCTTCATGAATTTGGTCAAGGCGATCAAAATGTTGAAGATGCTATAAATAAAGCATATGGACAAACATTAAAACGTTTTCATGGATGGATTACACGAGGAATTTTTTCGGTAAATTTGTTTTTTTTTTCAACTAAAATAAAAACAAAAAAAAAACATCTCTGAAATGATATAATAATTCTTTTAGATTGTACTTCGTTCGGTTCCTTACAGAGAAGATTTTCTTATATCACTTTTAATCGATCCGAGTGATGGTCGAGAAGTTCTTTTCGAACGACAGGTTAATTTTTATATTTTATAAAAGAGAATTTTCTCTATTTTTCTTGTTTTTTAGATATTGAATGAAATGCTAGAACATAGTTCATATATAAATATTATTGTAAATAAAATAACAGAATTTTATATTGAACATGAACTTGAATCAGATGAAATTATTGGATGATTTATATATCTGTTTTCTTTTTTTTTTTTTTTTTTATTTCTTTAATAATAAAGATCAAATTATTTTAGATAAAATATATTAAATGAAAGTAACATTAAATCAAGAAAAAGATAAAACTCATTCT